GAATTAGTGTGAACGGTTTTAAGTCATATTGTCCAGAATATCCAACGATTAATCGTAGTTATCAGATAGACTTTAACCAAGGAATCTTCATGACTCGAACCAACAGTCAACGACTTTTTTGATTGATAATGTTTCTTGATTTAGATACCCCTAATGTTCTTCCAACCTCCCCCATAACAGCAAACATCGCTAGTCGAGGTAAGTGGTGATTACAAATATATGACCGCCTCAGTCGACGAAGATTCCTGACTTCATCGGTCGCTAAAACTGAACCACCATCCTTAAAGACCTCTGGAGCCAATCCATCTGGACCAGCTGCCCTTCCTCTTTTCAGATTAACTATAGCCTTTTGAACTTCTGCTAGAGTTGGGGGACCCACTTCAATGTTCCATTCACACTGACTGGGAATGAAGGGTAGTTGTAGAGTAGCTGAAGGCCAGCTGAACTGTTCTGCCCACCTAAATATCTTTCTGCTTGGTTTAAGCCACCTACCTGGGCATTAGAGTCACTTGCTACGAGTACTATGTCTAAGCGTTTAGCTTTATGAAGTTCAGAAAACTTTCTGTAAAATTCATCTTCCAATTCATTCGGGCTGCAGTTACTAGGATTCATTTTAGAAGTGCTTCTTCTGCTCTCATTTTTAGTGCTATGCCTACACCCGCCAACCCACGAGAACATGCCGTCAGGTCGCCAGATAAACGGAGGGCATATCTCGTCGGCTTCCCGTTTTCGCTAAGTGAGATCGGGTGAACGACTACACTAGGATCCTGAGTACATATTTCGAAGGTACAGCATACACCAGTCGTACGAGATTCTAGGGTCCTAGTCAAGGAGGCCTGCTGGCCAATTTGACATAGGGTACGTACGTTGAAGGCTTCAATGTGTAGTTTGGAGCGAGGTTTCAGTAGACTTAGGACAGTATTTCGCGCGCTAGATTCATTGACAATGTTGACACCTGAGGAGGAAGTTTAGAGTTGATAGTCAAAGTCAGAGGGATAATAGGAATTGAGGAGGGAAGATTATTTTGAATACTGTGGTCCTCAGCGCTGTTAGAAGTATGAGGACGGTTCTCACTTCCCGGTTGTCCAAACTGTAAAAGGATTCTTCTAGAGGCACCTAGAAAGAAAGTTGGGTTGGAATTGGTCCCGAGAACGTGACCGCAATACCCAAAGACAACTGTTTGGGGCCGGCCACAGACGAACTTTCTGTGGGTAATTTTTGTGTTAGCGCCGTACTTGTTGAGACCTTACCGCCGGAGACGGATATCCGTGCGACAAGGCGAGGTGTGCATTTATAGGGTTGACATTTTTTAACCCCACGCTTCTTTGCGGAAATGCAGTATCGTTGTTATGCCATTTGTCCGGGGGAAACAAATTACTGCCGTCACAAGTATGTACACAGAGCAGTACGACTTCGCCTTCGTACCTTGGGTTTTCTGCTTTTAGTCTTACCGCTCTTCAACTGTCCTGTCTGGTATAGTAGGATCTTGAGGAACGATCGTTCCAGCCAGTATAGCTCGATTGGATCATCACGACAGGCAAGCCCGACCACCACGTCTAGGTAGAAGCAGCAGTCGAGAAGTTCTGATCCGAGCAACAGTGTTCGGGTAGAACCTTACAAGGTTTACTTACTTCTTTGTCTGCCTTTTAATGATAAACACAATAAATTTTTCTAGTTAACATAGTCGGATGGTGCCTTAACGTTACGGAACACAATTACAGTTTGGTATCGGTACATCTACCTTCTAAAACTAAAGGGTGACTGTTTGGTCAATACATTCAGGCACATATATGAAACTACCCTGATTTTGAAGGATTTACTCTCCACGGGTCCTACTTAAGCGTCAGGTGGTTGTTAACGCTAACAATCTAGATAACACCAGTTAAACTGATTTCTCTGTAGTTGTTACCAGAGGATTTATACTCATTGGAACGATCAGTTATCTATAACAGTCAGATGAAACCACGTTCAACCCCCTAATGTTCTTTAGTATCTCAATCAGTTAAACAGTTAAAACTGGATGATTTTTAAATATCTCCGGTGTTAGCCCACCGAAGCCTGCTGTTCTCGCGCTTTAGATCACCTACAGTCTTTGGACCGCACTAAGATTTGGGGGAGTAGCGTTAATTTTCTATTCTGGTTAATGGGTGACTGGAGGCCAGTTGAGTTGCTCCCTAAAGTATCCTGTTAATTGATCTAATATGCTGGACTGGGCGAATAATAGTTGCATCTGGTTCAGGGACAGTCTCACGATCGCCTGCCTTTCTAATACGTTTACTTGATCAGTTGGAATAATAATCTTGTGTTAGTCGAAATGGACAACACCGGGTATGAGGATATCATGGGACGAAATGGACTGAGATGTGCCTTCAAAAAATGGTTATATGTGGCACTACATTACCCCACAACGCATACACAAAGCTACATGATTTTCACCGGATCACACTACAGATAAAAAGATCGATCATATAAGTGTCACAAAAAAAAATTCAGAAGATCCACAGAAGACGTGAAAACAAAGGGAGGAACTGATATCGCTTGAGATACCATCTGGTGGTTTCCAAGAGGAAACTGAAGCGGAGAAAACATTGGGAAACCGGAGGAACAACATTGTAAAGGTTTAATACAGCCTTTCCAGATACTAACTCAAAGAATTCAATATAGCTATCAGGTTCCAAGCTTTACATGATCCACGACTATGCAGAACAACTGGAAAGAGATCAAAGAAACACTAACTTCAAAGTAACGGGATATTCTGGGTCGCAGGAAGCATCATCATAAGGTATGAATATCTATCGAAACTCTGGGTAGGATTCAAGGAAGGAAAAACAAAAAGACAGCAGCCAACAATAGACGAACAAAAGCAGAGATAATAGAGGCACAAACTGAACACATAGAGGAGAACTGCAGCTGACAAGCAGAAATACATGGAACACATAGGAGTGTAGGAAGCCACAAGAGAAGGAAATATCAAACAACTGAATGGCACAATGAAGAAACTAACAAAGAAATATAGGAAACCAGAGGGACCGGTTAAAAACGGAAGGGAAGTTGATCACTGCGATTCAAGAACAGAGGAAGTTGGGTGGAGCACTTTGAACAACTCTTGGATTGGCCAACTCAAAGGAATCCATTGGACATCGAAGCAGCATACACAAACTAACTAACAGATATCATTTCACCAACAATCGAACAAATCAATATGTCTACCAGACAAGAATGGGAAAGCAGCTAGACCTGACAATATACCATCCGAAGCACTAAAATCAGACATAGGACTAACTACAAGTATGCTTCACGTTCTACTCAGGATGATTTAGAAGGAAGAAAAAGTGCCGATGGACTGAAAAGAAGAATATCTCCACCCAACTTCCTCTGTTCTTGAATCGCAGTGATCAACTTCCCTTCCGTTTTTAACCGGTCCCTCTGGTTTCCTATATTTCTTTGTTAGTTTCTTCATTGTGCCATTCAGTTGTTTGATATTTCCTTCTCTTGTGGCTTCCTACGCTGCTATGTGTTCCATGTATTTCTGTTTGTGAGGACTCCAGAGGCATTACACTACAGTTGTCTATGCAAGATACTCAATATCTGTTGGATGGATACCATCAGCAACAGCCTACTGTATCAAAGAACAAGTCGGTTTCCAACTGAATAGGAAATTAGGGAAAGACGCTGAAGATGAGTAGGACATACATTGTGGAAATCATCAAACTAAATCACGAGGCAAGTCCTTACTTGGAATTTCCCAAGTAATCTCAATCTTCAGTCCAGATTGTTTACTTAAATACTTGTTTAGTTTTCTGAGCCAGGCGGTTTGGTCGTGGAGCTTTTATTGTTCTTCTGAACATCAACAGCACAAACTTTAAGCACGGTTATGCTAATGTTGTTAAGAATGATGAAGGCTCCACGGCCAAACTATCCACTTAAGTAGGATCTTACTTCGGTTACAATGGACAGCTGATTGATTTTTCAGTGACCAACATGATCGTCATCAAAAAACACCAGTGTGATGCTACAATAGCTTAGAACAGAAAATGCGTTCCGAAACAGACGGGTCCGTCTCTACAGAACCTTCAAATGTTAACTGGTGCGTAACATATCCTATTAACTTCTGCTTCTGGTCTGGTGAGAAGTTTGCTTGATGTCGATCCAGGCGTCATATTTAATGGAGCTTCATTGAACGTCAAGCTTTTTCGTGAAACTCATGTCTGAAGTGGGGAGTATTCTGAGCCAGATATATACACAATTACGTTAAGATTTCTCCAGTGTTGCATTCAGTTTGCTGTGTTCTTGGAAAGGCAAAGATAACAATGCTTCTGAACAATTGGTAGTAAGATGCCAACCTGAAGTTACAATAACTATATGAAACTCTAACTGTCGAAAAAGCTGTACTTTCGAAACCAAAATCACAGCCAATATAACATGACATATGGACAGGGAAATAAAGACAGAGTACCAAAGTCCGCGAATAGTACCAATGATTGAACTTATCACTCCCACAAACTACTCTTGATGACAGCTATCCCAAAATTGAGAATCAATTAGACGGACAAGCATTCAGGTTCATGTGTCAAAGTGAAATGTACTAAAAATAATCAGATAGTTACTCAGTCGTCAAGACAACCTGGACCAACAAACTTAATTCTGGACATAACAAAAACCTTATTTTAAAGTACAATATACTAACAGTTCTTGCACAAGTACCGGGTCAGTTAAGTTAGTCGTCTGGGGAGGTTTGCTGTTTCGTCCAAGAATGCCAGATCGACAGAATAACGTTTACAAAAGATTTTCGAACCAAGACGACGAAAAAATAACGGTTTGAATATAAATACTTACATCTCAACTCATATATTTTTCAGTTAATAAGTTAAGTATCGTGGAAAAAACCGACTTGCATTTTACGACGATTTATGAAGACAGCAAACAGTATACACATTAAAATCTTATTTACTTTACAGCATTGTGGCAGACTCAAAAGATAGTCTTATAATATTGATAATTTATCGAGTTTTTCTTTTATCTGTAGCTGAACTGGTTTTTAATTTCTCCATAAGTTCATTGATGTCGTGAGCCTCAATATTAGTTTTTATCCCGTCGAAACTTGATTTCAGCGTCATTCGCGTTGTCGCATATAATATTCTTGTCATGGGTAGTGCGGAATCGGACACTCTAGAATAACAAGTTAAGAAACATAAATGACCTCATACAATGAGAAGTATATTAAGTTCGATCCTTTAACACCTTCACATTCATGGTCTAATACACCATAGCACCCCGTGTGTTGATGCTTCATAACTTCATCTTGAAATTGTGATATAGTTTCGCCTAGGCGGGTAAATTACATTAAATTGAAAACAACCTCTAGGAGCAGTTTTAATTACATCTATTTCATTATTAACGATTTGAAACAAGATATATCGGTGACAGTGGTCCATTTTCAGTTTCTTATACGCGGCTTCACATTTTGCTGAGGGTTTAATACCTGAAGACTGATCGTTGATAAAAATAAAACAATTTCGTGTACCATGTCTGGAGATATATGCAGTAAAGACGAGAAACCACTATACTACCTACCGAATTCGGATTTGTGCGCCTTCTGAAGGTCAATTAAAAGTAATCATTGAGCAAGAATGAACATCTTATTTTTATCTCGGTTTTGACGTGAAAACGTCTTCCAACTTAGGAATAACCCATCTTCTTAAATTCAATCGAAATAAGTGACCATGTAACAAATAAGACTATTTTTAAAAGTTCAAATGGTTCAAATGGTTCAAATGGTTGTGGACGGAATAGAAGAAGCTTTCGCTTAACAGGCTTCCGTGTCTAGTAGCAGGGGATCACCAAATCCTCCAGGCAGGAACCTAGGTATGTTAACAATAAAAGAGGAAAAGAAATTGGTAAATCATAGTGTGATGCTGTCCTTGGTCCTTAAGAATAGGTCAAGTTGCCTCTTGAAGGACTCCTGAGAAGTCGCTTGGACTAGCTCGGCCGGCAGCGAGTTCCAGCTTTTGACAACTCTTAAGGAGTAGAAGTTGTGTCTACATTCCGTCTTGCTATGTTGTGTTTCCAGTTTCTGGGTGTTACCCCTTAGGTTATTGTTCGAACTAAGCTTAAGTAGGTGTTTAAGAGGATGTCCAGAAGTGTTAAGAATACTATAAGCCATTAATAAATCACCTCTAAGACGCCTGTATTCTAGTGGGTAAAGGTCTAGTGAACGGAGGCGTTCTTCGTAAGGCTTAGATTTGAGTCCTCGAACTGATTTCGTGGCTCGCCGTTGGATACGCTCCAAAGTGACCTTATCCTTTTGGAGTGAGGGGGGGAGTATTATGTTTCCGTACTCTAAATGGGGACGGATGAAACTATTGAAGATTGTGTGGAAAGTTCTTCCGTCAAACTGACCAAAAATGCGCCTCAACGTTACCAGTGCAAGGTTTGCTCGGAAGGCATTTTTGTCACAGTTAGCGTAAGACTTTAAGTCATGGGGCACCAGGACTCCTAAATCTTTTTCGACTTAGGATACTACTAGAGAGGAGTTTCCTAAGTTGTAGCTGTAGTTTGCGACATGTCGCAGATGGACTACTTTACACTTAGAAGTGTTAAAGGTAAGTCCGTTATCGTCTGCCCAACTATGAAGTCGAGTCAGATCCTCTTGAAGTGCCTGTATATCGTCTTGGTTGCGTATCTCTCTCCAAAGTTTCACGTCGTCGGCAAAAAGTAATAAGTCTGACGTTACCTGTTGAGGAAGATCATTTATGTAGATCAAGAAGAGAAGAGGCCCTAGTACTGAGCCCTGGGGGACCCCACTAGGACATTCCATAGCTTGAGATAAAGTGAAATTAACCCTAACCTTAAAGTGTCGATTTTTTAGGTATGAAGTAAGCCAGTCGATTAGAGGTGGTTTGATACCTAGTCGTTTGAGCTTGTTGATAAGACACAAGTGGTTAACCTTATCAAAAACTTTTGAGAAATCAAGGTAAATGACATCAACCTTTCCCTTGCGATCGAGGATGCTTGTCCATCTGTCCACCGCAGTCAGCAGGTTGGTTATACAAGAGTAACCCTTCCTGAAACCATGCTGTTGGGGTGAGAAGAAATTTAAGGACAGTAGGTAGTCATTTAAACCGTCGCATATCAGGGACTCCATGAGTTTTGAAGGTAACGACAGAAGAGCTACCGGCCGGTAACTTGAAGGTTCATTGCGTCGACCACCTTTGAAAATTGGTGTGATGTGAGCCAACTTCCAATTCTCCGGTAGTTTGCCTCGGCTAAGCGAGTGTGAAAACATCACGCTAAGCGGCGTTGCCAGGATTGAGGCTGCCTCCCTCAGTATGGCAGGATGAACCATATCCGGGCCAGGAGAAGTGTCAAGTCTTAAGTGCTGCAGTTTCCGGAACACCAAGTCAGCGCTTAGGTCCACTTCAGAAAGTCCTGTGGAATTGCAGATGAATCTGTCGTCGATAAAATTGATATCAGCCGGTTGGAATGTTTGAGAGTAATGGGCCGCCAGAAGGTTAGGGGCGTCGCCATCGTTGTTGGTCGGGCCGTTAGGACCTAGCAGTTGAGAAACTCCTGTTTTGGCTTGACGAAGAGAGGCTGCATAACGGAATAGGCTTCTAGGGTTAGAGGCGAATTTGTCCATAAGCTTTGTTTGGTACTGAAGCCTGTCTTCTCTTATAGCCTTCGTGCATGTGTTCCTGATATGTTTGTATTGCCTATACGCTCCATCGTTATTAGTTCGTTTGTATTCCGCCCAACAGTGCCGTTTGCGGCTTAGGAGGCGAAGGGTACGGCGAATTACCCATGCCATTGTCAGTTTGGAAAGGACACGAGACCATATGTCCTCTGTTAGTCCTGGAAATTGTAGTTCCTTAGTTGATACAACTTTATTTTGAAAGAGTCGACAGACGGGGTTTCAATCACGTATTGAGGGAATGATTTCCACTCGATGATTCGATGGGAAGGTCAAGTGGTTCAAATGGTTGTGGACGGAATAGTAGCTTTCGCTTAACGGGCTTCCGTGCCCAGTAGCAGTGGATAGTCATTTGATAATAAAACGAAAAATTATGTGAATGAGTTAATTAAACGACATGTATGATGTGTATCAAATAATTCTGACCAACCAGCTAACGTCGGCGGAACACCTTACAGATAGTACCTTCCATGAATTAACCTTTCCTATTTTTCAGGTACTATGGCTGCTTTGATGACCGTACATTACAAATGACGCTATTACACTAATATATTGGTAAAAGTAAGTACAGTGGACATGCTCAATGGTTGTTACTGATCTTGACGAGGATCATGAACTGTTTGATATTCTATGATGATGGGTGATTTGGCTAGCGCCCAATTGCATTTCTTTGGCCACACAGATAGATAGATAGATATCCGACCATGTTTGAATGAATCATTGATATTCACACTTGTATATAATTGGTGACACAAACCACTTTCGGAACCAAAGTTATCCAGGAGACGTTTCAACCAGGTTGCAGTTTTGCTGCGACGAAGGCTTTCTGGGAGTCTGTTCCATATGGTTAAATAGTGAATAACGGAGAAATTCTGACATCGTTTATGTAGGTCCTTGGAATCGAAAGAATATTCATTTATTGTGTAAGCCGTGGGATTATGTAATAGAGTACGAAGGGATGGATGCCAAAGAATAATGAATACTATTTAAAAGCCTGAAGTCAATGAAAAAGTTTGTTTAATATGCCTGATCTAGAGAGGTTTTAACTTGAGATTGTCGGAATAACACAAAATACCTTTAGTGAATTTTGTGTGAACAACCAGTTCTCATCAAGATATTATGCTTGCAACGCTGTAGGCTAGAATACCACATACAATGACGGGCATGATACTTTTTTCACATAATGATAATAATCCAGGTTCTATATTATTAAAATTGATCATAATGAATTTAATGAACCTTCTTGTTTTGGATACTGGTGATGCCATATGTTCGGAAAAATTGAAACTATTGCTTTACCCAAGTTATAAACAGTGTTGGAGTGTTCCAGTAAGTATTTGTGCAGAAACGGATTTAGGTTATCGGAAAATTCCAAGTGCAATGTGGAGTATGAGAGTCTAGTCATTAACCCATGTTGAAATGGGCTAATCAGGTCCAACGTCTGTAGATGACTTTTCCAAGATCCTTGATTGCATGGATGTCAGGGTAATGAGCCTATAGTTAGCAATATCGCTATGTGATCCCATTTTGAACTTTGGGGTGGTAAGCGATGTTTTCCGTACTGATGGATAAGCCCTATAGTCCGTGGATAGGTTGGACAGTTTTAGACAGGATAATGGAACTTCTCTACCACCACATTTCAAGAGTGATGCAAGAATGCCACTAGGTCCACCGTCGTAGATTTCTTCAGAGAAGTTCGGAGCTGGTTGATAGTGATAGATTTAAATCAATTGTGGATAGATGCCTATATGTCAACGTTAGAAGCGTAATGAAAGGTGTTTCGGTTTCTGTGTTGTGGCATCAAGAGAAACGGTGGCTGCATTGTTCACAAACGGTGTTATGGTTGTCTATAATGCTGCCGTTAATTATGAAAAGATTGATGTATTAAGAGAATTTGATTTCGTGCAAGGTTTGAAAAGCCCAAATGTTGATAAGTCTGAGTTTTTGCCGTCTAAATCTCCATTCTCCACAGCCATAAGATACCTGGGCCGAGATAAATGATTTGTCGTGGTATTAGACTCTAACCACACAATCCTCAAAGCTGAACACGAGACGAATGGGAAAATAGATATTCAACACTTAACGCAGAGAAAAACCCAACGATTGTGAAGACAGGAGGAAGGAATTCAATTGAATCTAATCGGGTGGCATGGCTCAGCATTACAGGTGTGGTTATTCTGCATGACATGTTTTACTCAAATTATACATATTGTTTAATCTCCGGCCTGGATGTGTTCTCCATCATATAATGGTAATTGTTAAGATATGATGCTTCAGTGTAGATAATGATGTGACTTCCACGAAAGATCTTGTAGATTAGGTAGTTCAGTCAGTCAGTCACCTAAAACATAGGATCAGGCACATATATGCATCGATCCCAGTTGCCATACCGCATTAGCACAACAAGATGGACACCGGATTGATAAAAGAATTTACTTCAATGGTGGTAAAAATGATTTCATATAAGTAAACGGTACAGAGAGAAAGAATAAGTTGGTAGAAAGAAAGATATGAAGCGATTTTAATCTCTTAGTTTAAGGAAAGACAGAGAGTGTATATGTAGAATTATGGTCTATTATGATACTTGTACTGCTCTAATAATAGACCTAATCCTAAAATTGTAGATTTGTCAGGATATAACTGCCTAATCTATAAGATCTTACGTGGAAGTCACACCATCGACCACACCAACTCACTGTATCGTATCAATTACCAATACATGATGTAGAACAAGGTTAGGTTAGAGAAGGAACAATATATTTAATATGAATAGAGGATATAAGGTTACATTCAGCAAGGACCACGCCTGCATGGCCGAGCCATGCCACTCGATCAAC